TTACTTGGTGTATTTTTCTGAGAATAACATCTTTAATGCACGAATTAGCCTTTAGATAGCCCTATTGTCGATTGAGGAAGAGGTACAGATGGCCCAGAGCTTGCGACTCCCCGCGCGTCAACTATTAAGGGCGTTTGTCCCGTACGTAGTACGTACGTAGGCCCCGAAGTGCGTTTTACCTCGAGGGGGGGTGATGGTCTTCCCCGATGAATTATTATGCAAAAATACTGGTATTTTGACAAAAGATTTTATATGAACTCATCTAAGATATATTTCTCAACAACATATTTATTTAACAAAGGCTAGGAATATTAAAACTAAAAAAAAATACTTTTGCAATATTCGATAAAAATCGCACTTTGCTCTATTCGAGGAAAAATTTGAACAAAATTTGAAGCCATTTTTTTGAAAATTTCTTTGATGGCTCATGTAAAGTACTCCCAAACATCATAACATCTGTTTCGAATTGAAAGTCGCACGTTCACCCAGATTAATCGCGGGTTGTCGATGTTGTTGAGAATTCGGTCTGTAACTTTTCCATTAAGCGTAGTTTACAGCCAGAGGCACGCACAGGCGGATCGACGGAGACAGGCATACAGACTGAAAGTTGTTTTTCCGTAACCCAATTTTTCGATTCAAAGGGCCCACAAAACGTGGATTTTGACAATAGAATATGTTAAAGTCAGCAGTTTGATACAAATAGTAACAAGAGTTATCCAATTTTTCTGTATCAGGGACTTACAATATGAATTTTTCCACTAAAAAATGGTATTTTTATAGCCGAAAATGGCATTTTTTCGCTGCAGTATTACATAACTCTCTGTGCACTACGTAATTTGAGTGCGAGAAAGTAACAGTGGACGTGAGCTTTGCGGCCACATTTCCGCAGGTGGTGGAACGTTCTGTACAGAGCTGCAACGCAACTTTCTCGATCTAATAATATCGGAGTAACGAGTTCCCACTAGTTCCCCGACTCATTCGATTTTCGGCAGCGCGCGCGAGAGCGCCAGGGAGAGGAATAGACACAGAGCGGCGCATCTCGTCAGTTGACGCGCGACGAGCGCACTGTGAGCGACGACTCCACGGCCAATGGAGTTAGCGACAGCGACCAAAGAGCAATAACGAGCATGCGAACAGGTGGAAGGTGTGGAAACAGGGGCCCCTAATAGTATTTGTGTTTAGCCATTATATGTCATGCAAAGGGCAATTGGCCTCGGCAGCGCCGTTAGATTCCTGGGTTCCCAGTCGGTCACCCAACCAGGAACCCGTGATGTCTCAAATTCGCTTAAACTTCGTGACTTCTCGTAGTTAACGAATTCGGCTAGCGGCTATCGTGATATTTCAGTAGAAACATTCACCTGGATGACCGAGGTATAACACGAAAACCTTTGAGCACGATGGGAGGCCGGGGGCTGCAGGAGGGGTCCGTATTCATTTCACAAACTGGTCCCAGCCGGGTGGGCAAGATATCCGGAGACCGACATCCGCGTTGTGTTAGAAGACACAGCGGCTTGTAAATTTACTTTCTCGCGCTCCTGAATGTAAGAATAGAAATTATTGGAACCTTTTCTGAACTGGCACCGATATTAACCCTCTTAGGAACAGCAATAATATACTTTAACCCTGAAGTGTGTACAAACGTACAGCAAATGAGAACTTTACTATAGATTTTACACTCCCTTAAACACGCATTCGACCTAGCTGACAAGCAAGCGTCGAAAATCCTTCCATCTAGGACAGCCATCTCTGCCGGCTCAATTGCTGGAGGCGCCATCAGCTTCACAGGCGACTGACGTCGCTCTCCCAGCGCCACTGGCCACTGGCGGAGAGCGCGTGGGCGCCCTGTGTGGGCGGAGGCAGCGGCGCGACGCCCTCTGCGGGTTCCGCGCGCGGGGCCTCGACCGCGCAAGTACAATTAGCTCCGGCTAATGAGCCGCCCGCGCGAAGCGAGCGGATAATGGCGGCGTCCACCCACTCCCCACGGGCGCTGTGCACAAAACTCTTGCCGCCCGGGCGGCTTCGCGTCTCACTGGTCGGAACATGAGGGTTGGGTGGTTGGTTGGTAGTGATGCCGGGCGCGGCAACAACAACCGAGGTAATTGGTACCGTAAGTATATCGCATGTTTTTGCTCTGGAGGTGACGGTGATCTTTGCCGCTGGATGGCGAGATCCGGCGCCGACTAGCGTCGACAGGCACGGTTTTCTCCCAGCAGAGGGGCACCGCCCCAGCCAGGACCAACTCAAAGTTATCTCCCGCCATGTAAGGTAGTGTAGTGCATGTTAGAGTAAGTAAAGGGTGAGGATATAACAAGAAAAGGAAAAGAAAGATCGCGCTGTTAGTGAGCCTTTTGGTAGGGTACAGCGCCAGCATTCGCCTGGTATTAATCAGAGAAGCCACGGAAAACTACCGATCAGAGCAGCCGTCCGTCAGAATTCTCCTTCAGACAACGAATCAATTCGACCAAACTATCTGGCTAGTAAGGAAAATCCTGACCTTTATTTGATAATTAGAAATACAAAGTAGATGTATAAAGTGCAAACATCAGTGAGGACTTTTCCTTTGTGTCTGGTAATTTGTGTTTCGAAAGCTCACTCCTGCCCTACGCTCCTGAATCGCTCCTAAGAGCCATTAAACGGAAAATACTTTATTTTCGTTTTTTTCTATGAATTTTCAAAAGTTACAAAAGTTAAAATTAGTACTTGCTTTTCTAGTGCTCTATCATGAGTTCTAAACAGTAATACTAATAAGAAAATATAATTTAATCCTTTTTTGTAAATTTGTGAGGTGAGGTTGTTGCATTGTTTTTTATTACATTTGTTGAGTATTTTAATATTAATGTTATTATAATAATACTATTTCAATGTCACAATTTGGCAAAGGTAGACATGGATGGCAAAAGAGGTCAAGAGCGTGTACAGACTCAGCGCCTCGGTCCGAAAGGTCGCGGGTTCGAGTCCCGCCTTGGGCAGAGTTGTTTGTCCCTCGTGTCTCGTGTGTGTTTTGTCGCGGAGGGCCGCACGTTCTGCTGACGCCAGATAAGAGGAATCCGCTAGTGTGTTGGTGTTTGGTGTGTGTAGGAACGTAAGGTAATGATTGGAGTTCCTTATAATCTGCCCTGAGCCGTCAAGGCTTTCGCTCGTTTTCCTTGAACGAGGGAGTCGAGGCACACAGGACTCGAGACGAAGCGTGATCGTTGATGAGCGAGCATATGGTAAGCCTTGGCAGTGAACGAGACACTGTGGACCATCATAATAACTTTTTGGAGTTTAAGATTTTCTGGGCACTCCCGCTCTGTAGTATAGATCAGAAACCTATATAATTACGAAATCTATGTAGTAAAATTATATTTACTATTTACTATTCTTAACATATTAATCGCACTAGTATACGCACTTCTGGTTTGTAATAAACGCTTAATAATATTAAATGATTAACCAATTCATAATACCGGACCCAGATACAATAAACTGCCTGCCTCAATGTGTGTAAAGTTAAATTTCACTACGAAGCGATTTTCACTTTCGAAACAATGATTTACTACATGTACAATGCAATCGTATTCACATTATTTCCTACGTGCGGAATGTTTACACTGATACAACTAAGTAGTACCAAATAATTTTAAAACCTACTCAAATTGTTATAAGTTTTTTCATATTTGTTTTTCTTCAGAGATTTTTAAGCATCATATTTCTATTTAATTAAAACAATAAACTATCTGACTTATCCCACTATCATATTCATTCACAGCATAATTACGGCAGGACATAGCTTTAAGCAATGTGAAGAAAGTACTACCGATCCTGCAGAAGACAGCAGGAGGTCATTTTCGCTTAACGGCTTTAGCAAACTGGACGCAAGCCAAATTGAAAAGTTCTTAAAAATTCCATTTGAATGAAGATTGCAAGTGCACTCGAGCCACCTCACTTTAGTGAGTTCAGTGAGAATAAGTAAGCGTATTTACGAATTCACTTGCTCACCGTCGCTCTACGTACCAGCCGCCAAAACTAAAAAAATATTTGAAACGAGCAAGAGCGAAAGAGAGTGTTAACTAATGATTTCTGTTTTAATTAATTCCATGAAATGATCGTATTTTGTATTGTTATTGTTCAGAAGAGAGAAGAACGCTACTGACGGGTAATCGCTTGTCAGTGGACATACGTTACATAAAATGACAAGGTAAAATGATGTTTAACACAGGAACAAAGTATATACATTCATGACGATTTCAACAAAGCAAAAATTAAACATTGGCAGAGATTCAGAATAGATGAGTTGAATGCACAGAAAGGCAGTATAAAATTATAAATTCAAACCATTTGAACACTACTAGAGTTTGATAGAAATTCAACATTTATCCAAAATAATCATACTTTATTTTACCTCTGTATGCTATGCAATATTACAATGAAGGAGGGCCATCAAAACATATAGCACACGATTTTTTTGGTCGAAAAATAAACTTTCTTGTGTAAATCTATATATTTATTAAATTGAGAACACACATTCTTCCAATTTCTACACTATATTGTACATTTACTTTTATAAACCTATTTCTACAAAGTTTGGATTGCAGTCCATTGATAAAATTCTCAGATCTTTTATTTTACAAGCATGAAATATCTAGCAGCAGCGCGGTGGATATCTCGTGTCCTCCAATTGCAATTTGGTTCCTTCTCGCCGCTTCGCGGAAGCGCGCAGCTTGAGGCGTGAGAGGGGCTGCACGAGCGTCGCAGCGCAGGGCGAGGGGGGGGGCGCTGCAAATCCTCCCCCACGTGCGCGCGTGCCCAACGAGCAGCGCCGGACTGAAGCACACGGCATGCCCTACTCTGGCCATGTTAAATGTTTGAGACGAATTCTCAAAATGTACTGAAGTTAGGCTTATGAAACGCTTACAAGTTACAGATACATCACTCACGACAACCCTGAATCATGCTGGATGGATCCACAGGCGGTGGATGCGAGGCGGTGGGCTGCGGGTGTTGAGGGACGCGCTCACCTGCTTGACGGTGCTGTTGTCCTCCTCGACGGGCGCGGGGCCGAGGGCGTCGCGCAGGCGGCCGCCGCGGCCGGCGGAGCGAGCGCTCAGGCGCCCGGGCGGGCCGTCCGCCAGCCTGCAACACCCACACGCTCTTGCAACGCCTCTCTCGCGTGGCAAGCGCCAGGAACCTTAGCGTGGGCTTCCCCAGCGACACACAGCAATAGGCGCTGCGATTGGTTGCTGGTTCCGGGCGCGTCAACAACTGAGGTCATTAGCCCCGTAAGTGGAGTGCATGTTTTTCATCGGGAGGTAGCGGTGATTTTCCCCCGCTGTATGGCTAGCAGGATTTTCCCTAACCAGGTATCTCCCACCAGCCGGGACAAGCTCTACCCTCCCGACCGGTCTCTCGAAATGTTAGGTAGTGTAGTGCATCTTTGTGTAAGAGTAAGGGTGACGGTGGGACAAGGAAGAGGAAGGAAAGGTCGCGCGCGGTCCGGGGCCCGTTTGTTAGAGTAATTCACCGGTATTCCCCTGGTGTTGATCGGAGGAACTACGGAAAACTACTGAACTCCACCCAATTGACAAGCTAGTGGGAAAAATTAGGCCACCTCGTATCTCAACCTATAACCCCCCGGTTAGAGGGACTGAGCTACATCTTCTGGTCTTTATCCCGAGGGCATCTCCTTAATCAGGACAAGATTCGAACTGGTTTCTCGACATCTTCAGTGGTGTAGTGCACCCAAGCATGTTATACCCTAACAAATAGGCCACGCGATCTTTCATTCCTCTTTCTCACCCCTACTTACACACACTTACCCAAACATGCTGTACACTACCATACTTGTCGGGAGACCGACCGGGAGCTTACAGCTTGTCCCAGCTGGGGAAGTGTCCTGCTGGTGGGAGATACCTGATTAGGGAAACCCAGTCAGGCGTCGGTAGGTCGGCGTCGGATCTCGCCATCCAGTGGGGAAGGATAACCGCCACTTCCCAAGCAAACACAATTACAGGACTAAAGACATTTGCAGTTGACGCGCTCGTAATCACTAATCAATCAATAAATAAATCAAAATGCAAGCGTGTTTGTGTAAGGGAAGAGAATAGGACAAGCAAAGAAAAGAAGAAGAAGGAAAGATCGTGCGCTGTCTGTGGCCGGTTTGCTAAGGTGATGTGCTAGAATCCTCGTAGATTGTAGGCGACTCTGTATGCACAGGTGATGCGTGGAGGTGCATGTCAACTTGTTTGCGTCAGATCGTGACCTGCCGAGCACTTGTGCATGAAAAGTTACCTAAAAAGCAGGAGTAAATGTGGCACGAGTAGCATCGTTTCATGAAATTTCCCAGTGCAAGCTTCTTCTGAGCCATCTGTACATGTGATAATATGTGAATATGTAAATGTTTACGTCAGTGTGTGTAACGACGTAACGACGTACGAGTATTGAGTGTGAAAGATTTTCGAATTAAGTTGTGTACTTTCATGACAATTGTAGAGGTCTGTTTATCTGACTATTCCACTAGTGAAATTAAAACTAATACGGTTATTACATATAAAGTGCACCAATCAGGGCGGCGTGACTCAAAAATGTATAGCATTTTCTCTTATATTTTTTTACCGCTTCTCCCTGCTGGTTAATAATACGCCGCGACTCATTTATATCAGTAGGCTATATGTGCCGGTAGCTATGTTGACATACAATTAACAGCGTATATACTAAAACATGACTTTTTTGATTTGACATGCTTTCTATTATTTTCAATATTTAGCGCATTTTGGAACTCTGTTGGACGTAATTTCATTTGTAGAATAGTCCTAAAGCCGTAAATCGTAAGAAAATCGAATAGAAAAAGCGATAATATTTTTGAGTTATACCGCCCTAATTGCAGCATTTTACATGTGTTGACCCTAGTAGAAATACCACCTGTTCTTGGGAAATTCTCAGATAAATCATCTTCTCACTTCGCGAATCGGGAATTTATCGACAATTTCCACTGCACTCTCGGTATGTCTCGGTTGTCTATAATAAACAGCACCCCTTTGACAAGGCGGATACGGAGCAGAACCTCAAATCAGGGGTCGGCCATTGGGCGTACCCTAGTCCAGCCAGTGTAGACAGCCGCTCTGGCTCATTGCGTGCTCAGTCAGCCAGGCTGTAGAAGGCGGAACGGAAGGCGCTCGGAAGTCCAGCAGTGCATTGAAAGACGAGCGGGGCGCAGGCAATCTGATCCCCACTTCTTTCATTAGATAATGACAGTCTTAAGTGCTGTACAATGGACAGTACGCAACTCTTCCTCTCCGCCTGACCTCACTACCATTTTTCGGACCGGGCAATTCTCTTCCGTTCCCACGTCCCATCTTTCAATGTATTGGAGCTGAGAGAGATGCGCATTTACTTGTATTTGGATGTATGCATTTTACTTGTATCAGTGCTTATGCATACTCTTACACGCACTACACTACCCCACATGCCGGGATCCAGTCGGGAGCTAGAGCTCGTCCCGGCTGGGGCGTTGCCCCGCTGGTAGGAGATACCTGGGTGACGGAAACACCGCTAGCCGACGGTAGACCGGCGCCGGATATCACCATCCAGAGCTAACTTACTTAGTAGTTGAAGCGCCTAAATCACTAACAATCAATCAATCTTTTAGTGCAGGACACGTGAAGGATTATATGCGAGTTGCTATTCCATATAATAAGCAAATGGGAAAGAGTACATATCCTTTAACAGCGTACAGAAGCCTGGACAAGCAAACATTTGAGGACACATATATGTGTATGGTGTGTGTTGATGTGCGTGTGTTGTTAAAGTGCATATATGCGAGCGAATTACAATTCCATTATTTATATTCAATACTATAACTATTGGAGCTAGATCCAAACATATTTTCTCTTTATTCTAAATTGCTACTCAATATTATAATACTAACGAAGCCGACACAGGTTTTCAAACCTGCTAAAATATTTGGCAAAGTTGGGAAGGGAACTTATTCTCTTACGTTTCACAGATACCATCTCTGCTTCATCTCTGATGCCAGAGACAATGCACTGGTACAAAAGACTGGAAATTACATTTCAGAAAAAAGTTTTCAGGGAAAAACAGTCCTGCGTCGTTTTTGTAAGCATACTTTTCTATACTTCGTCAGAAAATTTGAAGTACACATTTCGCACCTTATTTTGGAAACGGTTGACGGGATTTATATAATTAATTGTTTATTTTATATGTTTAGACGCGGCAACTGCATATGTTTGTTGTTTTTTATGAGTTATGTTTAAAATAACGATTTAAAAAAGTTTCAAGAGTGTTTTGAATGCCATGAGGTCAATGTAAACGCAATGTGCAACAGTCGTCTGTCAGATGGGTCTCTCATGAAAAAAAATTCTCTGATTGTAATGATGTGATCCATCACGTTTGTAAGTTAGGGTTGACAGCAGAGGTCTTTGACATTCTTTACCAGGAAATATCTGTACAAACCTCAGTGTGTATAAAATATTTAAATTACGTTTAATATTTTCAGAAATTTATTTCACTCTCTATTTACTATAAATAGTAACTGTATGGTTTCATGTTTGTAAATATCCTAATTTTGTTAGTAAGCAAGAATAAATACTGATATACATGAAACAATACGTTAGGAATTTTTCAAATTTCCATTATGTAAATATGAAATTTTCCCAGTTTTCTATAGCTTTTTCTCTTGTGCATTAGGCCAGAAAGAGTTGAGATAATATTCTTTCTACTCAACACGCTGCAACATCATCAAGATCGATGAGGGCACACCCGATTTGATGAAAACACTGTGTGCGCTTAAGGCGTTAGCGCTGTTCACAAACGGACGGATTTTTTGTTGCCGAAATTGTTCCGCATCAAAGACCTCAAAACGTGTATTTGGGAGGATAAAGGAAAAATAATGAAATATTGCAGGAGACTACACGACCACAGCTCCTGTTTTTGCCAATTAGGCGCCAGAGAGTTTAGAATATAATGTATTGATTTCCTTTCTTTTTTATCCTCACTGTACCAAACGTTCTCATTCCTCTGTCTCTGATTCAGTGCATTTCGAGGTAAATTGTGGTGCTTTAAAAATGTATATTAATGGAATATTACAAAAATACATAATCTAACTGTATGGCTTGTCAACATAATATAATGGAAGGTTGAGTTTAATCCCAATGAGGTAAAAAGTACGCAAACCGAAAAATCATTGCTCTTAATCTACAAAAGAAGTCGACGATAAATAGTCAACAAAATGCGGTAAAGCTTCAGATAAGCATTTAAACTTGAAACTTGAATTGGAAGAAACTGAACTCAGCAACTCGTATAGCAAAGTATATTACTGGAATTTACCAGAGAAAAATACACGCAGAAACATGCTTATAATATATAGTTTAGAATATTATATGATAATTCAGTTGCATGTATTAAGACTTATTAAGCAAATCTTCCACAATTTACGAATAACGCAAATAGTAAGTGAAATAATCCTTTACTTATCTCATACTTGGAAAAACTACCTATTCAATCGCTTGGTGTATCATATATATATTAATTTGTTTTATTTTATCTCGTTTACTGAACTTAATTTTTCAAATTAATTTCATTATGAGATACTTCGGCAAATATAAACGTCACATATGGAGTCATACTGTATGTGACGTACACGATGAAATTAAAAAAATATATTTTTACGAAAAGAAAGGTAAATCTCGCACATTCATTCACGAGAGCATACTCTGCATGTGAATGAACGTCCTACACACGTCAACTGCTAAATTACTGCGACGCCTGTGCCGTGATGACCGCGACCGCAAATAACACCTGATTGCCCAGCTACACACGACCGCTATCGCAAGCCAACCCCTCCGTGCTAATTTAATTTCATCATTAGATTTTCAAGGGTCGGCTTTAGTGTTGCTCCCGAAAACCCGAGTTCGGTCCGTTCAGAAATTCAGTTTCACTACACCGGCTCTGGAACGTGCCTTCCCCTTTAGAACGTTGATGTACGAGGAAAAATTTCAATAGAAACGGATCACGCGTTATACAGTAACTGAAAAACAGTACAGATGATGGGCGAACCGTAATCAACAATGGTAATAAGAAAAACAAAACAAAAGAAACAAACGAACAATGTAACACA